GCGAGGTATTCGAGTAGGTCATCCCAGTTATGGTTCGAGGGAGAGGGATAAAGGCAGTAAATAAATTTGGGTGATGTTTTGGAGCTGAGGCGAAGCCACAGAATGTCCTTCCGGTCTGATTCCAAAGAAAGATCCTGGAGCAGGAAAGACTGCTGCTGACAAAAGCCACAACTCCCCCGTTCTTTCTCAGATTGGAGTGCACCTCTTAGTTTGGCAGTCTCCGAGATTTTTGTCTCCGCCAAGAAAAGCACGGCGGGACGATTGGATTGCAGGTAGTGATGAACAGCATCAATATTGCTGTTGATCCCGCAGATGTTCGAAAAACAAATTTTATCATCGATGTTGTTCCCTCGAGCGCACCCTCCACCCGGACATTCCGAGAGTGGAGTGAGTTTACGTCAGGAGTTTTTAGTGCTCGAGGGATGCATCATCATTAATTTCTTTGTTTTGGTAGATAACCGACTGCATAGCTTAGGTATGGAAACATGCGGACATTTATAAGACACCCTGGGAAAAGCTAGCGGGTGGTACTGCCTCGGTTGATTGGTCCTTGTCTACCACCTTCTTTTTACGTGTTAGTGATGTTAAATAGACCTAAAGTGGCCCGTTGGCGGACTTGTACCGCCACCCGGCAATCGGTACTGAGGTATTCCTTAACGCGTGCACAATCGCTTGGACGGGAAGAAGTTGTATACTGGATACAACAACTTCCGGAACAAGCATTTGCCACGGCCCTCGCTCAGTAGGGACTAGGTTTATAGCTATAAACAGACATAAAATAATCATTAATTTTAGGGTCATTAAAACTTGCCGGAAGGGTTGGTTTACTACGAAAATTTATATCAAGTTGTTTTTGAGACTTCCACAATTTTTTTGAATTATTTTCATTTGCCAAATTTTCGATATATGTCTTTTTGTCCCTCCTGATCATGTTAAGAGCACGGTTTCTAAGCGATTTGAAGTTATTATAGGCGTCCACAGTCTTATTAGTTTTATATAAAGCTTGTGTATTATTCTTTTCATCAAGAACAGTGCGTAGTTCATTTGTTAACCAAGGTGATGGTGGCTTGTTAACTCTTACAGTTTTAAAAGGTGCATGTTTATTATAGGTTTCCACGATAACGCTTGTAATGCGCATTACCTACTCATCAATATTAGATTTCGTAAATAATTCATCTATGCCCGATGTAGAAAGATCGATAAGAAAATCATCCTCACTGAAATGTTTAAAATCCCTGATTGTGATAAATTTTTGTTTTCTTTTATTTGAGATCGGATTTCAAAATAAATTGCATACAGTCAATGTTATTTATTATCGTCCACAGGGTGACGTAGTCGAATTATCAATTCGATATTTTTGTACTTTTAAATGGACTTTTCTGGAATAACTAAAAATCAGAATAAAAATTCTATTCTTGTGTGGAAAAATCCAATATATCGCGTCTACAAGAAAAAATTAAGTTGATGCTGGAAGACAAGAGACGAAACGTCATATTGAAACTCTAATCGTGCCGTCTTGTAGAGGAGAAAATGTGGCAAAGTTGATGTGCAATTAATTTTGAAATCCCACCACAAATAAAGTCAGGAGAAGATTAAAACCGTTATAGGAAATTTCGTTTTTTACGTCTCTTTCAATTCAAAAACTTTCTAAGCGACATTTTGCTGATTATCTGAATACCCAACTTTGCCCCTACTTAAGCGACTTCCTATCCCTTAAAGTTTCCGAGATCCCAACGGTGAGGGTCGAATTTTAAATACTCTGTATAGGGGACTCCCTCTCCGTGGGCACCCGTGAAAAAAAGCTGTATCACTAAATCTCCAGAATTCGTTATTTTGTTTTTTTTTCATCAGCTTTGGGTTGGAGTTGCATATACGGGGTGTTTCAGTTTATTGTTGCATAACTTTAAGATTGGATAGAACTTTTAAAATTAATACATAAAGTCTATATAAACATGGGTCGAAAAACGCGTGGCTTCCGAAATACAGGGTGTTTAAATTTACTTTCTAAAATAGTTTTTTTTAAATATTTCGAACAATATTTGATGTATAACAGTGAAAATTTGTATAGATGGGTTTTTGGTACGACAAAACGAACCATGGGCATAGTTTTACTGTAGCTGCTAGAGGGCGCTCTCTACTGTACCTGTAGTGTATTAAAATGACCGAAAATTTTTTCTTAGTGCAATTTTTTGCATTTTGAATAAACAAACTGATTCTTAGCACTTTTCAACATAAAAAAGCTCTCTTGTTAATTTTCGTTATAGTTAGCCGTTTTTGAGATATTTCGATTTTTAAGGTTCGATGCATTTTTAATTATTTATGATAAAATAACGTTAAAAAGTCAGTATCTCGATAATTTTTAGAAGTAGGCTGTGCCTGCAAATATTTTTGAAATTGAAAGCAGAATAAGGTTAAACGTCAATTAGTTGACAGTTAGTTTTGTTGTCTGTTGAAGCCTGAAACGTTTTTTTGCAATTGTGAATGCACTAAATTTAGTTTCTCTTACCTGTTTTTTTGTAAGTTTTATAAAAATGCCATTTTTATTCTCCAATCAAGAGTTAGCGGATATTCATTTTGTGTATGGCTTTGTAAATGGAAACGCAGCAGAAACAGCCAGAGAATACGCACGAAGATTTCCAAACAGACGACATCCAACTCGCTCAGTATTTGTAAGAGCGCAGATTTACCCGTATGATTCTGCGTGAGTTTGATAGAGATCCGACCACAAGTGTTAGGAGAGTTTCTGGTGCCTTGGGAATTTCAGCAGGCCATGCTCACCGTGTTCTTAGAAATTACCATAGTCGTCCTTACCATTTGCAACATGTGCAAGGACTACAGCCAGGTGACGGAGAACGAAGAATCACATTTTGTCAGTGGATTCTTGATATAACAGATAATAATAGGGAGTTTTCAAGTAACGTTTTATGGACCGATGAGTCATGCTTCACTAGATGTGGAGTGGTAAATTTTCATAATCAACATATTTGGTCGCATGAAAATCCGCATACAGTTCGGAAAGAAATTTTCAGCATGAATTTAGTGTGAACGTGTGGATTGGTATCTACCGTAATCGACTATTTGGACCCTACCTTTTGCCTGCAAGGTTAAATGCTGCGACCTTCTTGGAATTTTTAAAGGCTGAACATGCACATATGTGGGATGATGTTATGTTAGATTTAAGAAGATTGACCTGGTTCCAGCTTGATGGTTGTCCAGCTCATTATTAGAGAATAGTTAGAAACTGGCTGGACGAAAATTATCCAGAAAGATGGATCGGCCGTGAAGGATCAGTCGCCTGGCCTCCACGATCCCCTGACCTAAATCCATTAGATTTCTTTGTGTCTGGATTTCTAAAAGAAAAAGTGTACCAGACTCCCGTAACCACAAGAGATATGCTAATAGACAGAATCAGGAATGCAAGTGATGAAATGAGGTCTTATTTGAATAATGCTATACCACGTTCGATCATTCGTAGATGTGAATTGTGTATTGAACAATTGGGTTTACATTTCGAGCAACTACTTTAGATTTTGTATGTTTGTCCTAACTATCCAATAGCATTTTAGTTGTAAATAATTAATTTAATTTGTTAAAAATAATATTTGAAGATTAAACAAATTAATATTCTGTTTTTTTTTGTGTTTATTTGGAGTTAGGAATTATTGCTATGTTTAAAAACACAATCTAAACGATCATCTTAATTACTTGTAATGCCCAAATCGAATATGTAAAAAAAATATTATTTTCCCATAAATAATTAAAAATGCATCGAACCTTAAAAATCGAAATATCTCAAAAACGGCCCACTATAACAAAAACGCACATGTGCGTTTTTTTATGCAGAAACGTGCGAAGAATTAGTTTTTTTATTCAAAATGCAAAAAATTGCACTAAGAAAATTTTTTCGGTCATTTTAATACACTACAGGTACAGTAGAGGGCGACCTCTAGCGGCTACAGTAAAACTATGCCCATGGTTCGTTTTGTCGTACCAAAAAACCCCTGTGTACCAATTTTCACTGTTATACATCAAATATTGTTCGAAATATTTAAAAAAAAACTATTTTAAAAAGTAAATTTAAACACCCTGTATTTCGGAAGCTACGCATTTTTCGACCCATGTTTATATAGACTTTATGCATTAATTTTAAAAGTTCTATCGAAACTTGAAGTTATGCAACAATAAACTGAAACACCCTGTGTAAATACTGTTTGTGAATATACTTCGAGGCTGGGCGACAAGGGAACATGGAACAAAAACAGTAATATCGGGGTTTTATTAAAAGTTATTCACAATGCCGTGTATATTTCTCATGCATCACTGCAGACGTTTATTCTGAATTCTTACTATTTACTTAAACTTGTCATTCGATGTGTGGAATCATATTTCTTCGAATTTATGTTTATACGTTTTATATGAGAATTGAATGGGAATTAGTGTTCCATGTTTTCCTCTCTAGAGGAAAATTCGGGCAGTTGGGCGATAAATCCTAGATCGTTCTGGTTTACAGCTTACCCCAATTTTTCCAAATTTGTCTACTTCATTCTGAAAAATTTTACATTCGAATAATTATTGTACATGATTTCGAGATCTGACAATTTACTGGCAAATCATCTTCTGACTGATTTGACAGTCATCAAACTATCAGAAGTTACTGTACGAACAGCGGATTAGTTGTCGGTAACCAGTATGACCTCCCTCAGCCAACTCGTAATGTTCTTATGTACGCAATCTATACAGTCAGCGACGTGTCAGTGACAGCTGACTGAGTAAACTAGGTCATGACTTGTTCGCAGACTATCAGTTTGCTGATTGTCAGCAAACAGGCTGCACGAACAAACCAAAAATGACCATGCCACAAATATGTTGGTTTAGAAAAGTGGCAGAGAAAGGTGTAAGCAGACACAATAGCTTTGTCGGCTTCTTCGGCAATACTTGATCCTTTTTCTTAAAACAATGACCGATGAAAACCAATCTTTATCGAGTTTCTTTTTACGCAGGCCCTATGGAATGCTCTAGAAGAGGTAGAATTGAAGTCTCTAGTAACTGAGCTCCCAGCTGGTTTGAACCATCGTGTGACAGAAGGTGGAGGAAATCTTTCAGTGGGCCAGAGACAGTTAGTCTGTCTTGCTAGAGCTATTCTCAGAAACAACAGAATACTCGTTATGGACGAAGCTACGTCTAATGTGGATCCGCAGACAGATGCGCTTATACAAAAGACAATCAGGAAGACGTTCCATGATTGCACAGTGAGTATAAATGAAAGGTATAGATAAGACATCTTGAAGTCAAAATGGGTAAAGCGAGAAAGTGAAAGAGAGCGTCAATTACTTGAGGGTGTGTGTGAAAATGTAAAACAAGTAAAAGGGCGTTGGAGCTAGAATCGAATGCTAGGTGGAAAGACGCGATAGAAGAAATGAAATTGCTTAAAGTAAAGTGGTGGGTAAAGAGAAGCGCCACTAAACTTGAAAGACAGGTGCATGAACGAAGAAGACGGAGAGAAGGAATTTGAATGTAGATGGATCGCAAGTGTAGATGTTAGCTTGAAAAAGATAGGAAGATCGGACGGAGGATTGTATGGGCGTATGATGAGAGGGAAGAGAAAATTAGAATGTAAAGGCAAATAATGGATGAATGGCAGATAAAGTTAGATGCTGGTGAGGAAAGAAGTGAGGTATATAAGATATGCAAGGTCGAGGAAGGGAGGCTCGCTTCAGGGCTTTACCCGCCTACTTAAATTGATTTAGATCAAGGAACGAGATCGGTGAATGTGAGTGCCGCAAGGGAGCTGAAAGTTCAAGCCAGGTAGGAGAAGAACGTATGACGAAATAAGACTAATTGTGAGAGGAAGGGTGATGACAAGTTGTGGAATGCTAGGCCCTGACCGGTTGGTAAGATGGATAGTTACGCGGCGGATATTTGGAACGAGTGGACAGTGGTGGCAAACGAAGATGCATGAATGGGGGACCCGGATCTTCATCACTTCATCACATGGACGACCCATTGTTTTTTTCATATTTATGTATATGTAATATACATGTTTGTGGATGTACGCTGATGCAGAGAGGCAGAAAGCACTGAACTGTCTCAGGGTATAACTGTATTTAGTGGTAGGATCATCATGTTAATCGAATTGTGCAAAGGGGCTTTCAAATGGATATTTAAGATCATCGATAGGTGACTGTCTGTAACAAGGATTTGTAGAACCTTTTCTTAGTTCTCCTGGTTGAAGTCCTGTAGGTCAGAATAACGTTTTTGGAGTTGCTTGCAATTATTATGTTTTAGGTTTTAACAATTGCCCATCGGCTCCATACGGTCATGGACTCTGATAAAATTCTAGTTATGAACGCTGGACAAAGTGTGGAGTTTGACCATCCATATAATCTTCTTCAAAATGAAGACAGCTTCTTCTCCTCTCTTGTGATGCAGACAGGAAAAGCATCGGCTGACGTACTTCAAAAGGTTGCTGAAGAGAATTATAAGAATCGACAGAACAAGGCTTAGTTAACAGTATTACTTATATATAATGTGATTCAATATTTCGCACAAAGTTCTACAGATACTTTTCCTAAGTATAGTTGAGTGTTTGAGATGAATTTTTATGTTTCGAGAATAAAAATGTTACAAAAAATCCATGCTTAATGGTTTCTAACTTGCTTCATAGATATGCTTTATTGTCTGAAGTACATTAATGACAAAGCTAACCCATAACTAAACTATAATGTAATTATATAAGTGGAACTTGAGTAGGTGAATTGTAGAACTCACACAAAGTATAATATGGTTTACATATTAAAACGTTTTCAAATTCACGGCAGAATATGTTTAAATTGTTTGATGGCATCAGTAGTTTCACACGAATTTGGTATTAGTTTTTTGCTGAGATTTTAAAAATTATTATCCCAAAAAATGTAAAACAAACTTCGTCTGCACCGGAATAGGCAATATTTGGAACTTTTGATGCAATTTTGAGCCGGACAACATGCAGATTCGTTGAAAGGGCCTTTTTGTTTACCAAGATTATACAAAAAACAAATCTAGGGCGGATCTAGAAAATATTTTTGGAGGTTCCATATGATGAATTTTAAATTCACGCTCAAAAAGTGCTAGGGGGGGAGAATCTCAGGAATGATGCTCAGGACTGTCCGCCTCGTGGGGAATCTGATGTTTGTTTCTCGCTGAGGGCATTGAAAAGCTCTGAGTGGTCCATTTTTCAGTTCCAGAAAGGGCTGTGCGCCATTTTACGATTTTTTGGTGATCAGTGTTTCATACTATTCAGCAAGCACTCCTTAGGGCAATATCCAACTGAATTTCTCAGTTTATTTTGCTGATCCTTATTTAGCCGACTCTTAGTAGAGGAATAACCTAAAAATAAGTATAGGATATAGGTGGTAATAAAACGACCATAAAAAAAGTAATTATATTAATATATTCGATGTTTCAAATGTCTTTTTCATTAAAATATAGAAAACTCACAGTAATTGACAACTATATCTATAGAACCACCAATGGCGTGCGATAGTAGCTATAATTATATGGGAAAATATTTGATCTCTAAACATATGGTTTTTTGTCATTCTTTCATACAATAAGTAGTAAAATACATTTCTAGGATATGTTGCTCAATATTATACCACCTCAAGACATCTGGTAGTTCCACTGACAAAACATAAATAAGATAAAAAAAACCTGGCTACATATCTCACTCTACCAAACAATACATTTCCTTTTCGGATTCATCTTGGTTCCAAGTGGGCAGTTGAAATCTTTGGCGAAGTACGGCGAGTTACTGAAAGGTCCCAGTACTCTGAACTGACCGGGAGAATGATATCCAGTTAAGATGCGTAAACGTAAAGATTCTGGTCTGTATTTGGCGCACCAGGTATTGGCTGCAGATATCCAGAACATTTGGTTGGCTGTGAAACCTAGTCCTGGTAGTTGGGGTTCGCGACCGTGGCGCTCGGCCCATCTGTGAAGAAAATAGGAAGGTACCAGTTATCAACTATGCTAAATGAATAAGATCTGTTTGCTTTCCATCTCTGCAACCATAACCAACCGCAAACAACGTGCTTTCATGCTTTTTACAGATCACGGTAATCAAACAAGCCTATACAGGGTGTTTCAGAACTTATACAACAAATTTTAACCACATATGCACGGCTACGAAATAAGCTGATTTCTCAAAAAAAAATGTAAAAGTCCTAGAGAAGTTATAAACCTGAGTTCCAATAATAAATTGAAACATACATATCTTGCGTTCATCGTCGTGATATTAGAACACGCATTAATAATTTACTGTAGCAAATGTTGTACTAAACAACTGACGAAAACAAAGTACCGGGAATTTTTAGTTTTTTCATACTGGTTAGAACGGGTAAATAAGATTTAATCTGTATCGTGGGTGATCTGAATGGAGAACTGTCGATTTTTGAGAAGTTAAATATAAAAGCATTTTGCGAGCTTATGTCTTTAGTTATTTATTAATAAAAATGGCACATGTGTACACTCATGAGGAGTTTGTGTGTGTGTATGCACACCGATTTCCGAATAGGCACATACCACATCACGAAACATTTCGTTCAACTGCTTTACGTGCACGTGTTAGTGGAGATTTGCGCCCAGACGTGGAGTGGATGGGGGTCGAGTTCGCCACAACGCGTTTTAAATGCCGAAGATAAAATTTTGGATATTTTTGAAGAAAATCCGGGAATAACCACAAGGCGGTTAGCCCAACAGGTCCCAGAAGTGCCATATGCAAGAGCGTGGCGTATATTACATGAGGCCCAGGCCCAACTGTACCCTTATCATGTCCAGGCGTTGCTACCTACAGACTACCTCCTAAGAGTAAGATTTTGTGAGTGGATGTTGCAAGACAATGCTCCAAATGCCCGTTTTACAGCTGCTATTTTCGCCACCGATGAAGCTATTTTCACTCGTAATGGAATAACCAATGTTCATAATACACAAGTTTGGTTCTTTGAGAACCCTCACGCAGTGGTCCAGTCACACTTCCAACATAGCTTTTCTTTAAATGTGTGGGCAGGTATTGTCGATTAACGTCTAATATATTGCCAGATCGGATGGATGGTCACCAGTATTTGGAATTTTTTCGGAATGATTTGCCGGTCCTTCTTGAAGATGTGCCATTGGCGGTCCGAGCAGGGATATGGTTTCTGCACGATGGGGCATTTCCACATTTTCGTTTAGAAGTTCGTGATTTTTTGAATCAGGTATACCAGATACGATGGATCGGAAGGGATGAACCAATTGCATGGTCTCCACGGTCTCCCCATCTAAATCCTCTGGACTTATGGGGATACTTGAAAAACGAGGTATACCGTACTCCAGTTCAGAATATTGAAGAACTGCGTGACCGAATCACAGTGGCTGCCGATAATTTAAGCCTCCAGGCACAGCAGGTGTATTTGAATTAGTGCGCCGAAATTGGATTAGACATGTCAAAGCTTGCATTGCAGTCAATGGAAACAATTTTGAACAGCTTTCATAAGTAAGTGAACTGTTAAACTGTATTATTTTATTATCTCGATTTCATACAATTTTTTTTTGAAAAATCAACTTCTCTCGTAACAGTGCATTTGTGGTTAAAATTTGCCGGATAAGTTGTGAAACACCCTGTATACTTGCAGACAATATGGATGTTTTAAGAGCTTAGAAGATACTCTATCAATCGAAACGTCGTGATCTCAAGAACTGTATAGATAGTGGAAATCTGAAATGAAACTGTTGATGCGGATATAGGTCCACTGGAGAACTTGTCTACGGTTGTTAATGAAAGTAGGGCAGAAGCAAGTAGATCCTATTCAGCCTGTTTTTATGCAAAATTGAATATATCCTATTTCAGGAGTATTCATCACGGTAGAATGACACCTGGTTATCTAGTAATATTTTAAAATTCCCCATATTGGACACATAAGGACACATAATTCTGACGGAGCCGTCAATGCCAGGTAGACAGAGTCATATTTTGTTTTGATTTTTTGTACTGTTTCATTTTGTACTTGCTGAAAGCTCTTTTACTTAGAAAAGTTCATTTGCATACAAAAAACACAACGCTACAAGCAAATTTTTGCTAGATTTACATTCGATTCATTATAGCCAACGTCTATTCTCGGTTTTTGGCAGATTACAGTCAAGATTCAGGAATTACTTCATACATCCAATCTCCTTCACCCATATACAGGGTGATTCACAAGTCATGACCAAAAATGAAACATAAACAGCAACGCATTTTAAGGGGGGTCCTTTATGTAACATTTTCATTAAAAAGATAGTTTAAAAATAAAAAATTTAATATCTGCCAACTGGAATGAACAAAAATTTGGTATGTGGATTTACCTAAGTATTGTCCACATTCAAAAGCCTTTACTTAAAGTTAACGTGCACCAGTGCCGGAGATACAGGGGATTGGTGGCATTATTTTTCCAACTAAAAATGGTTCGCCACGGTATTTTTTTTCGAAACGATCAAAACAGTAAAATTCGAAAAATTGCGTGATCGAAAAAAAAAAATCAGTGGCATAGGTACTATTTTTATTTGGAAAAATAATGCCACTAATCCCCTGTATCTCTGTCACTGGTGCACGTTAAAATTTGCGAATGACCCTGTATACACAATCGACCTCTACGCGCGGTCATTTTCACTTTCAGTTTCAGTATGTCATGGGCATGTCATTTGTGTTTGCCCATGTTGATCTGCGATATAACGCATACTCGTTGTTAGTGCTTGAAGATACAACTAAGATGTCGACAGTCTGAAACGGAAGTATTTTCAGACAGCGAGTGGAAAGAGCCATCCTATATAAATAAATATCGTCTTCATTTACGACATGGTCTATCCGCATGGGCCATTCCCTCGTGGAGAAATTCCTTTATCACGCCAAAAACCGCAAAATGATTAATTTATACTTCGCGGGGGGTAAAGTAACTGTACCTAGGACATAAAGGAGCCTGTGTAATGAAAATTGAAACCCTCGAAAAGTCTATTCATAAAGTACGATTTTTAAGCCGGCCGTAGGTAAAATATATAAATACAGGGTGCGGCAGAGAGGACGAACGTTTTTGGGATGGGTAGTACTCTCCGCCTCCGTCTACGAGAGAGGTGGGGAGGGTGCCGTTTGACTCGTGAGATCCTAGCATTATTTTACCAGTTGTCGTTATGGAGCCTTGGACGGTGGAGCACCGCGTTTTCGCCTATGATTGTTTCGTCCGAAATAATGAGTCAGTCATGGTCGTACAGCGTGAGTTTCGTCGCCACTTCAACATTCATCGGAATAGAGCTGTTCCCTCTCGAAACACCATCCTTCGTTGGGTTGAAACACTTCGCAGGCGTGGTGAACTGATCAACATAAGACAAAGAGGAGCGCCGCGAACAGTTCGAACTCCAGAAAATGTTGAACGCGTTCGACAGGTCTTTCTTCGCAGACCGACTCGATCTGCCCGGAAACATGCTGCTGCACTTAGCCTTAGTGATCGTTCGGTAAGGCGAATTTTGCATATGGATCTCCGCTTTCACCCCTACAAATTGGCCATTGTGCAACAGTTACAGCCCGGAGATTATGCACAACGAATGAACTTCGCACGTAAGATGTAAGCACTGATCGATCAAAATGAGAACCTCATTTTGTTTATGAGTGACGAAGCCCACTTTCACCTAAACAGCATGGTTAACCAGCAGAATTGTCGTTATTGGGCTAATGAAAATCCGCAACAGTTACACGAAAGACCGCTGCACAGCCCAAAAGTAACAGTTTGGTGTGCTGTATCGCAAACTTGCATCATTGGCCCTTGCTTTTTCGAAGACGGTAATGGTCGTGATGTTACCGTGAACTCAGAGCGCTACGTCGACATGATCACAAACTTCTTTCTCCCTGAATTACGATGGCGACGTGTTCCAATCCGACGTGTGTGGTTCCAGCAGGATGGGGCGACCGCCCACACAGCCCGAGCATATGGACGTTATTCGCCCTCTCTTCCCTGGTCGCCTTATTTCCAGGTTTGGCGATGTTCATTGGCCTCCTCGGTCCCCAGATTTATCCATATGCGATTTTTCTTATGGGGACAACTCAAGGCTAGAGTATACGCGAACAAGCCCTGAACTCTGGACCAATTGAAGGGCAAAATTCGCGTGGAAGTCGCCAGCACCGCATCAACGATTTCGGCCACCACATGCCTGATGTGATTTTTCACACTTGACTGTCTCAAATGCTATTTCCTTGTGAACCTGATTCCATCAATAAATTTGTTTTCGAGTAAAAATTAACTATTTTATGATTTTTTTAAGACCGTCCATCCTCTCTGCCGCACCCTGTAGTTTTCGGAAAATCATTTGTTTTTACAGAAAAGATGATAAGGATCTTGTGAAACAACGAAAAATGTTTAATATGTTAAGTCTCAATATTGTTACCTGTTGTAAGCTAGATATGCTTCTTTGATACCTCCATTGTCAGCAATGTTTTCACCCTGCGTATTGATACCATTCAGCTAAAAATAGAGTCAGCATATTATACTCTAGAATAACTGATCGAAAATGTTGAACAGAAAAATGGTATCTGTAATGGATATTTCTACAACAGGCAAGCTTTTATATTACGTTAGTACAGTGTAGATAGTGAAATGTTAAATACACCCAAATATTATAAAGCACTAATGTCTAATATCTGAGTAGATATATCGTTGTTAACACAAGAAAACCACGTAACTCCACTTTATATGGCGTTTAAAATAGGAAAAACACGTATTTCCTAATTTTACCTATTTTCCATTTTTGTTTTGAAAATTTCAGCTTTCTTTAAGTATCATTCAGAAACTACTCGACTAAACTATAATATTGCATTTATCACAATAATGCTATTATTCCTAAAACAATATAATGCATCAATTTATTTTTACGCCTTCCTCTAAAATTCTCAGAAACGGAGTTACGATTTTTCCTTGTGTCATCGACGATATACAAATACTATCTAACTATGGAAAAAACTCCACCAAGACTATCTACCGACTACTAATAAAAGCCAATTTTCTCAATAAATTATACCTGAGAAAATTAAAAAACTGGTGGCTCAATTTTCTAGCGGTTGTGCCTTTGAAAATCTCTAAACCAAGCTGTGATATCTACAATGATGCATTTAAACACCTACCTTGATGGTCCTTTTTTACTCCCCTACTGGCGAGAAAGTATTAAGTATTTCGAAAATGAGATATTATGTTTCTTCGATGCTATATGACATGTAAGTACAACACAAAAAACCTTGTCACTCATTTCCTTAGGGAATGGGGCGGGTATATCTAATTTTTTGATGTTACTATATTTATATTATCCCAACCTCGCTATTTCTACGCATGTATATTGCCTATGGACTGACTTGATCCATTTAATTTCTTTGTTATAGATGTTCGTAATTAACTTTCTTCTCAGAGGGTCTAACTGGTAGTGAACATACTCCTTTATGAACTGATTTCAGCGTTGCGTGGGAAGTATAGAGAAAATCTACGCAACGCCATTTTTATAACACTATAGTGCTCGTACTGGGAGAATTATAGAAAAGTGAAAAGAGTCAGAAACGTAAATTTATTTATTTCATGTCCCCCTACTGGGATGGTTATTTATAATTTTGAGTTCCTAATTTTACAAAAATGAGTATCATTTCCTTCTGCCCACATAGTTCATTTTTACGAACTACAAATGTAATTAGTATGTTAATATATCTAACTCAATTGAGTACTCATAAATTCTTTAACATTATAATTGATAATTTGCAAGGTTCTGCTCCAGTTGATCTTACAGTAATATCACTCATACTCTACTTCACCAATAGATTATTTTTAAGAGGTGTATAGTTTGACCAAAAGTTTAACCATTAAGAAAGATGCATCGACAGTACTGTCACCCAAGTCAACAAAATATGATTCTCTCAATCACTAACTTATGAAATATGTTATAATAACAATATCTTCTTTACTTGGACAATTCTAATAACGAATTAGAAAATTTAATTTTGCCGTAGGTATGTAGTACCTAATAACACTCTGGGCAAGATTAATGAGGAAACAGATAAGCTTGTGTGAGGTCATATCATTTGTGCTAAATTACGTGTGAAGTGCATTTAAGAACAACGCAATTTTCTTGTTAAGAGATAATTGCCAACGATGCACCATTACATTTTCAATAATTTAAGGTAAATACAGAAAAACATTTTCTGGAAAATACCTTAAATTGGTACTTCTTTAGCTTGCTTTGTTTGAAGATTTGTTTCTTGAGCAAGACTGGCTAATTTTTTGTTCAAAGGGTGAGAAGTTATCTTTGTATAAACATTTTTCATAAAGTTTACTAATACAGTAAATGTGAGCATTATCGAGCTCTCATTTTCCTACCGGTGTAACCACAAACAACGAATTCGTTTTTAAGATGGAGCAATCACAATAAATGTGCACGTATAGACGAGAGGCAAAGCCTAAATTCGAAGCTCGTGACTGCTGTAAAAAATAAATTAAAGGACATGTGGTTTAATTTAGCGGCAAAACAATCATCGAGTTTTATCTGCTATAAATAATTTAGAAAGAGTGTACTAATATGAGTCTCGAACTGGTTAGGATAACTAGTATGAGAGAATTTGTTCATAATTGGCATGTAGAGTAAAATATTAGCAAGTTGGCAGCTTTAAAAAGTGGCTTCACACTGGCGGGGTCCGTGCAGCTTGAAGAAGCAGATTCCATCAGTATATCAGTAGAAAATCACAAGGTCGTTAACAGTTTAACTATGCGAAAACGGCTTGACATTGTGTTTTCAAAAAGTGTCACCGACTGATCGGACTGTCTATATCTAAACCACATTAAGCTTGTATAGTGAAGCTAGGACAGCAGACGTGTAGGGATAATGGAAGAAAAAATGCTCTTAGTTTAAACAAAAAAGACTGCTTCTTCTAGAGTCAAATCATTAATCTCCTCTTTGATAGCAAACGAACATTTCTTGGTATACTTAATAATGAGGACCAAAAATGTTAGTTTGGGTGCTTTTCATGCTCTATATGCTATTTTATATTAGGCTTTAGAATCACAATTGCTTTTCTTGATTATCTCCGCGGCTGTCAAAGAGGATTCAGTCATTGTCTTAAGCACTTTTTGACATTTGGAGAAACCCTTGGAAACAATATATGGAAGCTGCGTCAAAAGACACTTCTTCTATTCTTGCCCACACAAATTATGATTGCCTTTACACCTGGTAGTATCTTTTTATCTGATAGGAAAAATATTCTGATTTGTATTTTTTGAATAATCTGATTCAAAATACCGAATCTAAGTAATAACGGATCCTTTACACGAACATGCAAAAAATCCGAATAAGAATATTTTCCCATCAGATACGAAGATAGCACCTGGTCTCTCTGACCTTGAACGAATTCGCATAATACTTAACGGCATCTTATCTTAACTCATCACAAAACGTATCTTTCACCAAACGTTGCACTTATGCTTAGGGTTCATTTTAGTTCCCGCGGCGCAATTGAAGTCTTTCGCAAAGTACTCCATGTTTGCAAGTGGTACTATCACTCGGTACTTGTCGGGCGCATGCTCGTCTGTCACAACCATTTGCTTCAGTTCTTCTGGTCGTATTTTGGAACACCAAACGCTGGCCGCTGACATCCAGAACATCTGCCGGCCACTGTACTGCTGCAAGCCCGGTAGATGGCCCTCGTCATCGCCGTTACGTCTTAGCCATCTATCATAGGCTAAGTAGGCTTGTTTGATGCCTCCGTTATCCGCGATATTTTCGCCCTGGGTGTTGATTCCGTTCAACTGGAAGATTGGCCAATTGTGCCTAAGTTAGTCCTGGATCCGGCAAGGATAAGTTTGATCTTGACGTTTAGTTGCAAGTCTTAAGTTTTATAGAGAACAGTGTTGCCAAGTTATGGCATTAGATACCATTTTGTTTTTTTATCCCAAAGAACATTGTTTTTCTTGAATATCGCTTAAGGTAGTTCTCACCAGAAGCAACCCAACGGCAACTCAACTTTGACCCAATTTCAACTTTGATTCCGTTGTTTTTGAATTTCCACCGAAAGTAACGGCTAAGCAACCAAGCAAGGGCGGATTCAGGATTTCGTCAGTGGAACTTCTAGAATTCATCCTATTATTGCTTCTTAAATCCATTGTGTTCTATCTGGTCAAGGCCAGCTTGAAAAAAAACATGGAAAATGCTCAGAAATCCTCAGAAAGCCAATATTATATTATATGAGAACAAAACAAGTAAGTGACATTTATAATTAACTACTGTAATAATATCAAAGATTCAAACATAAAAAACTCCATTGCTCTGTTAACCGAAAATAAATAAATAAAGCATTCTGAGGGACCCCGAGACATATACCAGTCCATTCCACACAAAAAAATTTCTGATTGCGAAAATGAACATGAAACCAAAAAAATCACATCGTATGGACGCTAGACGAGAAAAAAAGGATGTCTATAGACCATAGATCGTGTCTTGAGACCGTCTCCAGCCTGCCTATAGACAAACTGCGCAACGGGATCTACTAGTATGTACTAAGCTTAAGGATCAAGACTCTGAACTGCCCATTAAACAAATCAAGTAGATGGTGCAAATACTGACACAATTAAGCACTTCTATTAGCAGCAGCAGGTGATAAAAATATCAATAGGTATAGCCAATTATTACTTTTTTTTTACCGAAGCAGCCGCGCAGGCAGAAGCCTAAATGCCGGAACACCACGGTTGCTATGATGATCCCAAAGGATTTTATTAACCCGAGGTTACTAGAGCTGGGAAAAGCTTTTAGATTTTTCCACAATCTCGATACCCTCCGGACAAAGGAGCGGTCATATCGGCCAGTTCTGGATGTACGAAGTTCGACAAGGTTAGGATGGGAGGTATTATGGAAGAGAGCTCTGAGGAGCAAATCCCGTTGGTGTAGCGATAGAAGAGAGCTAGATCGTCGGTGTGAAAGGGTCCCTGTCTGTTAGAGAAGAGTCATCGATTAGTCGGACAGCCCTCCTCTGGTCAGCATGCAGCATAAATGATGTACTCGGGGCGGCAGCACCCCAAACGTGTGAGCAATACTAGCAAGGCTAGGCCTTATCTGGCCCTTGTATAGGGTGAGAAGGTCATGCGGAGAAAAGCACTTCTTAGTCCGAAACAAATAGCCTAACTTTTTCCCAGCAGCTGCCCCTATTGACGAGATGAGTTCGTGCCAGATCAGGTCCTCGGTGATCTGGAATCCGACCTGTTGAAAGGAATGGCTCTTTTGCAGAACTCGGACATCCATCGAAACTGGATGAGCTTTAGGACGCTTTTTGTTCGTCACGGTACAGTACTGTGTTTTGGAAGCAACAAAACTGTACAAGATTGTTGTGTCCCCAAGCAGTGATAACCTCCAGGTCTCTCGTCAGAGAGGAAGTCGTCGCTAGTCTTCTTTTTTCCAGCTCAGTGGTAGAGGGGAGTTGGCAGCAAAGATATTGGCAAGCACTTCCGGCTTGGCCCTTGAGTCCGATACAATCGTTCCATCCTGACACGTAAGTGGTGGAAGGCTACTGTGTGAAAAGTTCCTTTTAATATGCTTGGACAGCGACCAGAAAGACCGACTGCCATTGCGCTGTGACATTACCCTGTGCTTAACTCATATATTATGCTGGTTTTTGGCATTGCGAACCCCTTCGTTATATTTGTTTCTGGACTCGTCGTCGGCTTGTGTGTTCTGTAAGAAGGTTCTGTGTGCCTTGATCTTTTGCTGGCAAACAGTAGCACACGATTTGATAAACCAGCCGTTGGACCCTGGTTTAGACACTTTCAATGTGTGAGGGATGTACGAGTATTCCTCCATTCCGACGTGGATAATCTCGGTTATCAAAGAACAGACAGCCGACGCATCCGCGTCAGTGAAACAGACATCTCTCCAAGGAAAGCTAGAGAAGAAGTCTCTGAGCCCCTCCCAGTCGGAATGTCCGTAATGCCAAGTTTTGCGGCCTGTACGAGTTTCTGCTGCCACAGCGGGTTCTGGCCGAAACCTAACCTCCACAACACCGTGGTCTCAGTTACCCAGGGGGGACAGGACAGCAATGCTGTAAGGGACAGGATGCGTGGTCAAAAAGAGATCCAGCAGGCTACTGGCATGTGATGAGACGCGGGGAAAAAAGTAGGGCCCGTCACCAGCTGGGTCAGCCCTGCAGTAAGATCGAACGCTTCAACTGCACGACCTGCTGCATCGGTCTTGTTTGAGCCCAGCCAAAGCAAACTATGGTCATTGAAATCACTGAGGAAAACTACCTCTGAAGCGGGGTGATTGATGTTCAGGAACTCGATCTTGACGGCGAGGTAAAGAAGAAGGTCATCCCAGTTATGGTCCGAGGAAGAACGATAAAGGCAGCAAATACATTTGGGGGATGCTTTGGAGTTGAGGCGACGCCACAGCATGTTCTATCGGTCTAATTCCAGAGAAACATCTCTGCAGTAGGAGATACTACTGCGGACAGAGGCCACAACTCCGGTCGTTTCTCAGATCAGAGTGCACCTCGTAATTCGGGAAGCTAAGCTGGTTAATCGGTGCGGACTCTGAGATTTTTGTCTCCGCCAACAAAAGCATGGCGGGACGATTGCAGCATCAATGTTGCTGTTAATTCCGCAGATGTTCGTGAAACAAATTTTATTATCGATGTTGTTACGTCGAGTTCTCCCTCCACCCAGACACTCCGAGAGTGGAGTGAGCTTACGTCCGGAATTATTAGTACTCGAGGATCCAGCATCATTCATTTCTTTGTTTTGGAAGATAACCGCCTGCATAGCTTGGGCGTGGAAATATCCGGTTACTTATAAGACACCTTGGGAAAAGCTAGCGGGTGGTACCGCCTCGGTCGACTGGTCCTTGTATACCACCTTCTTTTTGCATGTTAATGATATTAAATAGACCTAAAGTCGCCCGTTGGCGGACTTGTACCGCCATCCGGCAATCGGTACTGATTCCCCAATGCGTGGACAATCACTTGAACGGGAAGAAGTTATATGCTTGATACAACAAACCCCGGGACAAGCATTTTCCACGGCCCACTCAGTAGGGGTTGGGGTTTTTGAAATTCAATATAGATGTTACAGTTATTTTTCAGACTGTCATTGTCAAGCTTAGATTTAGGGCATAGTTGTAGTTTTCTCAGTTTTAGAACCGGTGTTGATCGCATGTAAAAATGTGGGAAATCCTTGGGAAAAACTATATCTGTTAGATCTTAATTATTTTGATAATGTATGTTTGTTCGAAACAAGTACAGGAATACAGAGCTGTACATATTCACGTATAGTGCAGCAGCTCTGTGATTTAAACGAATTCAATATAGCAACATAAATAGACACATACGCGAGAAGAGATGCGGGACGTGTGGTATTGACTTTGAGTATCTATCGACGCAATTTCTGGACAAGCCACAGGCGCACCGCTAAACAAATATCATAAGTGTCTATTTACAGTTTAGACGTTCATCTAATAGTGCTTCGCTGCAACACCAACTCCGAACAAAATCTGTCAAGCTTTACACACTTTTCAAATTACTATTGAGCAACAAACAGAACATAATTCACTTTTGAAGTGCAATCTGTATAGCTAATATATTACCCAGACTTAGATTTGTCACAAGTCACAATACTCGTATATACGTATAAATCGTAAGAATTGTGCTGCAAACAAGTGATGTCAAAGAGAGACAGCATTTGGAATACCAAAGGATACAAAAAAATCGCAATGCTCAGTTCCTATAGCTATAACTTATACTTAGTATGCGTCTGTCGCCATGATGTGTCAGAAAGTAACTCAATGGTGTTAGATTACAAAAGCAAGTGTCAGACTTCTAGGGAGGAGAGGGGCGCGCCCCCCGTGCTCCCCTTTTAATTCCGCCACTGCAACCAAGCAACTTCATTTTGTGGTTGTGGTAAAAGTCACTAAGTATGTATTTACTGGTAAAGATGCATAATATAAATAGACTATTTTCTTGAGTTCTGGATGTACGAAGCTCGGCCTGGGTGGGATGGCACAACGGAGTCAGGAGACTTTGCCTGACAGGCCGATGGCGCGGCAGCATCATAGTGGAGAGCTGTGTGGATCAAAGGCACTGAGACAGAGACTGTCGGTTAGAGAAGAATCATCGATTAGTCGAACAGCATCAAGCATAGATGATGGAGTCGGGATAAAAGCACTCCAAGAATGTGGGCAGTACTCGAGGAGGAGTAATGATGTTATGTGTGAGCTTTGTCCCAACAGCTGCCGCTATTGATGAGATGTATTCATGCCAGATCAAGTCCTCGGAGATCCGAGCTCTGACTTGCCGAAATAAACAGATGGGCGCTAGCGCGCCTGTTATTGGTCAAGCCACTTTTCATGCTCGATGCTGTTCAAAGGAGGGCTGTCCGACTGATCGATTACTCTTCTCTAACAGTCTCGGGACCCTTTCGCATCGGCGGGCTGTCGGCGATCTAGCTCTCTTCTACTGGTACGCCAATGGGATTTACTCTTTAGAGCTCTCCTCCATGTTGCCGCCGCGTGATGTGCCTGCCAGACAGATTCGCCTGACTTCGACCTCTCATCCTAATTGAGTCAAAATTCGTACATCCAGTACTCGCCGATACGACTTCTCCTTTGTTCCAAGGGTATCGAAATGTTGGGCCAATCTACATGGGGAGGCTTTTCCGAGTTCAACTAATCATAGGCAGTTCAAAAATCTGATCAACGAAGTTTCTTTCTCTCTTCATAGCAGCCGCGGTGCCCTGTCATTTAGGCTTCTGCCTGTGCGGCTAATTCGGTGTAAAAAACAGTAAGGTGCTCCGGAAGCATTAAACTGTACTGATTGCAACGTTACTCTTACAATTACATTCACAGATTGCATCTTTGAAGCTACTGGTTATGTAGCTATCGCTTTGATGAGAGCGCTTGTATTTGGATACATGAGCCGAGTGGGGTTACCGTGGGTTGCGGTAAGTCAGTTGCTTTCGGTGTGAACGGTCCCATAGAGTTTAATTCAGATGTTTTTGAAAAACGTTCCATCATTTGAGACTTCGTTCTCAAATGAGAATTTTTGAAAAAATATGGGCCCGTATCCGAATATAGTAGCAATTTCCAGATTCAATATCGTTTTTGTATTGCATATAGGGGTTTTTAATATGGTATTGTGTATGATTTCAGTACTTGTTATTAACTGTCCACTAAGCACTGCTTGCTGTTCTCTATTCGGTGTTGTTCAGGAAAGCTGACAATCCTGTACTTCTGACCGACTGGAGTACGTATCGACAATTCTGGACAACGAAGGTCGTTTCACAGCATATAAAGCATTATAATTACCACTACCATCTATAGAAGCACGTGTTATCAAAAAGCGGTAAAAATGCGTTGGTCTGCAATGCAACCCACCACGATTAGGTCACACTTTTTAGATCCATTTGGTCCGGAAATATCCCGTTTTAGAGGTGTCGGCAAGAACGCTGCTCGTCATACAACAAGGGAACAAAATTCCTCCGCATATATAATTTGAGGGAAAACTCGTTTCATGAGCTCGAAATTCGGCCCTTCGGCAAGTTAAAGACTGTTTTCGATTATAATTAGAATGCAGCATCATAAATAAAGATGTCCGAACACAGACAGCTGTTTGACTATTATCTGTCCGAGGTATAAGATCTATAGAAATAACACAGCACACAGCGCCATCTATCACCAGAATCGATCACAGCGAGAGTGTATAACAGCAATCGGGTGGAACTGTAAATACCTCAGTTTGCGTTTAATAGCCAGTCAGCACTGTGACCGCTAGAGGCTGACTATTTCGATAGACAGCGTTATAAATTTACAAAGTGTGCCATTGAAACCACCGATAACGGAATCATGACTTTGAACTTGTTTGAACTGTTTTTAATTATGTCGAAAATGGTTGCTTAGCTACTCAGATTATATTTAGAATTAAAAAAATTTATTGTCTCAAGGTACAAGAGAGAGACCATTGAAATTTGCTTTGGAATAACAGTATGTTGGCTCTGATCGTTCGTTAAACGGTGTCTCCAATAGCTTCTGCCTTATCTGCCCTAGTACCATAGTCAGATGATCCAAGTCACTACCTTGCGATGTAGATAAAACCAAGACAAAAACTATGGTCAGAGCATCAAGACAATTATAAACCACGAATGCCTTTAGTTGAAATTGTAATTGTTTGCAATCATATGCAATTGGAATTAGGTTATGTACAGATATTACGATATCATATTGAACATGGTATCAGTTTTCATCATAGACATCTAGTTACCCCGGCACTTATTTTGAATGTGCCTCACATGCAAATCTTTCTATACCCACATAATACGAGGTCTGTCGCAAAGTAAACAGGACAAATAAAAAATGAACAAACCTTTTTGGTTTTGGAAAATCGAATTTATTTTATTCAAAATAGTCCCCTTCAGCGATTTGCAGGGCCTACAAGATTTTCGAATGATGATTTTAGCCCGTTGACCGGGATGTCCAAAATCTTCAAAGATATTAATTTCCATTTCTATGTATTTCAATGGAGATTTTGGATAATTTTTGAGAAATCACGCACTTTTTCGACGGTTTCTGGCGTAATCACAAATTTTGCCTGGCCAACATGTTCGTCGTCTCCCAACGAATCACGATCCTCTTTGAACCGTGTAAACCCCTCGTGGACTCGGCTACGAGATAAACAATAATCATATCATCATATACTTGCATCAACATCAAATGCATTTCGATAAATGTTTTAACAAGTTAGCATAGAACTTAACATTGGCTCTTTGTTCGTCGCTCATTTTTCGACCGATGCTAAGGTAATGTCACTTTGAGCGCGATAACTCCGCGTAAGGGCATCAATGGAAGATGTAGCTATCCAACGATGATAGATGGCGCTACATGTACTGGATATCTTTCTAAAGTCCTGTTTACTTCCCGATATAGGGTGTTAATTTGATAACTTCCCACCACGGATTTATCGAAAACGACTGCTTAAAAAAACGGCGAAAGACGTCAAAAAATTTGTCAAGGGGGACAACTTTTTAACCAAAAACTACTTTACCCCTTTTACCCTCTGCCCCCCAGGGTCGTATCCTTAAGAATTTTAAATGACAAAGTGTATCGAGTAATAGCTTGTTTGAAAGGCCTTTAGAAGTACTCTATTTTAACGTTTACTTTTTTAAAATCGTTTTCAAAAACATGTTGACTTTTCAAGACCTTTCAAACAAGCTATTACTCGATACCCCTTGTCATATGAAATTCTTGAGGGAATGACCCTGGGGGGCCGAGGGTGAAAAGAGGTGAGGTAGATTTTGGTTAAAAGTTGTACCCCTTGACAAGTCTTTTGAGGTGTCACGGCGTTTTTTCTTTTAATTGGTGGTTTCGATTAGTCCGTGGTAGGAAGTTGTATGTATGATGCTGTATGACTACATGTCATATGGTACCAACACTACACAGCTTTACCAGTTGCCAAAATTACTTTTTCAGACCAGACACGGATTATGCTACTCATATTTGTTAGCATTGCTTACACCTTTAAGATACGTAGATCTCATCATTTGTTTAGTATCCCAACGAATGTGTTAGTAGCTATATAAATGATACATTTTGAAGTTGTTAGTAAGGCTATTATTTATAAAAATTACATTATACAAACAAGCTCGTTGTGATGATTGCATACCATTATTCTATTATAGAAAGTTGCATGGAGCTTTATTTACAATTCACTGGATTTACCAGACATCATACATCTTATTTCTTGTCAGTTCTACTCCGTATTACCCTGTTTGAATATGAGAAACAGCTTTGTACAGTACTTGGTGCATGGTTAATATTAGTACTTACTGCAATCATGCAAAATAGATACAGTTTAAGATATGGCATCTTAGATGTACATGACGATGCTTAGTTGAGACCGATAGGTAGCACCTAATATCTAAAAAAAGTTAAAATTTTAATTTTTCTATATAAACATATCGTAATTTCGTACATCTAAGATGCTCTAAAGCAGCATCCCCAACTATTTGTATTTACAGAGCATACTCGGCAATCACATTTTTTTGGAAATGGTTCGAATAAAAGTTATATGAATATACCTGTATGTATACCAAAAAAGCTATTTTACTCTGGCCTTCAATATGTCCTAGTGAGAAACCTCAGCAGATCATTTGGAGCTCAACAGATTAGTGTGGTGCTTGAAATTTTACATAAAACAGCATTTTTATAGATGAGACTAAGTCATCAAGATACACTACTAAAACGTCTGAAAAGGACACAAACACATCTGAAACTTGGCACCTACGTTTTTTTAAATAATATAACAAAAGTTGCAGAATATCAAAAGCAATTGATTTTTGACTTCTAAGGTAATTTAATGGCCAGCTATGTGATTCAAACAGCAAATACCATTGTTGTCAGCTTTTCATAAATCTATCAAAAACGGCAGTTGTTCTTCGAATTTTACAAACTTCAATTATAAATAAACTCTGGATCATTATCTAGGTTATATCCGTAATCCTCGAAAAACATTTGATGTCCCAAAGCTTTAGTTAGCAGTTAGTATATTTTGGGGAGTTCATGTCATTTTCAGGCATAACGGTAGGACATACTGATTGGACCACTTGACTTCATATGTGAAAATGCAGTCTGATGTAAAATCTGAAGCTCAACATGAATCTGGTGTTAAGAATGGAGGTTTCTATCATCTCATAGTTCAAACTTGATCTCAAAGTGACCTTGAATTCATCGAAAAATTGTCAAATTTAGTCCCTAAGTTTTTTGTTAGACCCTTTTTTTCAAAAAATGTGTGGTCGCCGAATATTCACGGTGTTCGGATATTCAATACGATATTCTACGTAAATACCTAGATCCTACTTACATTCAAACTCAGTTCAGGTACAGTGTAGTTCCCATACTGATCTATTATACATTGAGCCTTCTCAACAAAAGCTTTTTTAGTGCCTTCTTGCCACCAGTCGACTAGGTTACCCTCTTGGTCGAATTGTCTCCCTTGATCATCAAAACCATGCGTGATCTCGTGACCTATCACAAAGCCAATAGCGCCATAGTTCATGTACCTGGGACGATCAGCACTAAAGAAGACACCTTGGAGGATACCGGCTGGGAACTCTGAAGAAAAGTATAGTCAAAATTAACTGGAAAATTTAAATTTTCCACTCGTAAGAAAACTACACATTACACTACAATTATATAGAGGTTCGACAGATCTTGTGCGGAAATTTGTTACCATGGATGAGAGATGGATCCATGACTAAACGGTAGAAATAAAACACCAAATGAAGCAGTGGGTGGAAGCCGTTGGTTTAGCGCCAAAGAAAAAAGAATCAATCGCGTCTGCCGAAAAGGTCATGGCCAGTGGGATACCTTAAGAGTAGAACAATTACGGGCACATACTACTCCAAGAGGCCCAACTTAAAGAGGAAAAGTTTGTTTTTTTTCATCAGTATAACGCGCCTGCTCACAAAGGTGTGTTACTAATATAAAAATCAATAAATCTGAATTTTATTGAAAATAACTATGTCGCTCTCAATGTTGCTGTGCAAAATTCTACTTGATAAACTCTTTGAGGAAATAAATAAAATTCCAGATGCTTATTCGTTAACAAACATCAAGTAAATAATGAATTTACTTACTGTTAAGAGGAAAATCTCGCGCATTCTACTGGACGGTAGGATGACTACACGACTACGCTGACATCCGTGTGTGTTCTCAAAGAATTTATCAAGCAGAGTTTTGTACAGCAACCTTTTTAGTTGATGGAATTGGTCTCAACTTTTGTGTTCGAACACAAATTGGTATTTGTAGCTCGACAGGGCTATTAAATAAAGACCCTATAAAACGTAAAAAATCATGACAAAATGTCAACTTGCTGCCTAGATAGTTCCCAGTGTGCAAATAGTACATTTCGCGTTTCCTCGCTATGAGCGCTGTGAGCGTCATAAAAAGCGTCCATCTATGGAAGAATGACTCAACGACACGAGGCGCTCAATGACGATACTGCAGGCGGCAAGTCGGATCCTCGTCATCTTTTGTTGGCTGCAGAATGCCGAGATAGTCTGTAGAGTGTACTCTGAGAAGATGTATGGTTGAGAAGCAGAGTAGCAAGATCACAGCTGGATGATTGTATGTATCGGTCTGCATATGTATAAAATCAGTGATATTTGCTATGTGAGAAAATTATTACTGAATATGCTACCCATGAAATATATCTATTAGCTGTGCCAGACGGGTTATTTGTGCTGTCCTTTCTGAAGAGAGTTATACCTTACGATTTTCACCGTATTTTCTTGCGTTTTCTAAAACTTTTGAGAAGCATTAAGGGAAATTAGCATCGCACCCGTGTTGTGTGTAATTAATCCACATCACAGAAAAATGGAATGACGCGTTACATATAAAACATTTTCGCAACACCTCACATCATATATTTTCTACTTGACATCGTAAAATAAAATTCTATAAAATTTAAAATGTATGTACCATATTTTCTTCCCTAGTTTTAATATACGTCACCAACCAGTGATTTTCTTTTCTGATTGATCTTTTTTGAAATTAAGCAAATTTGCCTATGTAATTTCCAGGTTAAATACGAAAAAGCCGATGCGCAGCTAAGTTTTTTGCATACATCTCAAGTAATTGTCTTTGAGACAAGGAACCAGTTGAATTATTATAAACACAGATGATTGGCACACAAATCCTCACTATGCACCTTTGCACTGCCGTTTCCTTTCAACTATAGTATACAACTTACACCTGAGACCTCCCCAAATGCTATCTTTGAAGCAGATGTTACATCACATGAGAGCCAAACATTGATAGCTGTTTAGGCAACCCGTACTGCTACGGAACGAGTGCACAATAAGTGCACAACAGATAGTGCAAAGTTGACATCTTGTAGAAAAACCTACATAATGTCACAAAAAACCTATATAATGTCAAAGAAACCCGACTTAATGTCACCTTTCAAGATTCGAAATACACCTGCGGGCCTGAGGCTTCCATCTGTTCCAAGATTTGAAAAAATTTCTTTCTGGGATGCACTTTAGGTCCGATGAAGAAGTTGAGAGGGCGGTAAATAAATATTTTAACAGCTTTATACAACTACGACTTCCGAGAAGGAATCTTAATTTTGAAGAAACGTGACATTAAGTGTGTTGGTGTCGGAATTATGTCGAAAATGTAATTAAACTCAACCGCAATCTTTCGTTGTCAGGCCAAGAACTTCTTGCCCTACCCCCGTATCCAATGAATCATGACCGCAAAGCCTATACCCTATTCGTAGTCCATTTACGCCCCGGCACAATGCTATTGATAATTCGGCCATAAAACTACAAACAAGTGCAGGATTCGACAGGATAGAACTCAGGCTCGGGGCTGGCAGTTACTGTTCATATTCGGTGTATACATAGCATATGTTTACAGCAGATGAAACTGAGAATATTTCTCCCAATGCTTCATTCAGCCATGCTTCCTCTTCAGCGATGTCTCCTCCCCGAAAACGTGACACGAAGGGACATTTGAGTATTCAGACAAAAAATTAAAATTCATAATATTGAAAGACGTGTGGCAAACAAAACAGGCTTATGTCCTAAGTCAATTTTAAACGTTGTTAAAGAATATATAAAAAAAAAACAAAAAGTGTCTCCAACACACAAGAGGCTGCATTAAAGGAAGCTGTTGGATACAGTTGATAACTTTTACCGAAATGCCATCAGACGCAAAGTCCATCAATTTTTTGGAAGGCAGGAACTTCCCACTTTAGACAAAGTATGACAGGAGGCTAATAGTGATGAAGACTTACCTACTTTCAAAAGGACCACATTCTATAGTTTATTCAAAGAACTTTATTTTGAATATAGAAAACGGGGCAGAAATAGTATTTTGATGAACAGCCAAGAGATTATTTTATGGAGAAGAAACTATTTGAAATTAATAAAGAAATAACGCGACCAGGACAGGAATATTTATTTCTTGGATGGAACCTGGATAAATGCAGGACATGAAAAACCTAAAGTACGGGCTGACTCTACAATTAAAGCAGCAAAACAGGCTTGCTTAGATGGACTAACTACTGGCCAAAAGAATCCGTCAGGTAAGTGTATCTAACCTATTCATCATTTGTGTTGTAAAAATGGTGTCAAGTAGACTGAAGCCCACGCTGAAAACTTAGCTACTCTAAACTTAGCTATATCTGGTAGATTTGGAACCAACACCTGTTAGATATCCTGCTTGTATTATGATTATTTTTCTTAAATACTGTATGAAATAATTATTTCCAGGAAAAGGAAAACGATTTGTTGTCTGTTATATCGGCAGTGAAGATGTATTTGTGCCCAGTGCCCTATGGGCATTTAAGTCAAAGAAACCGATCGACTACCATGAAGAAATAGACGGGAGTTCATTTGAACGATGGTATGAGGAAACGCTCCCAAAGCTTGATGACAATGCTGTCATTTTACTTGATAATGCTGCATATCACACTAGAAAACTAGAAAAAATTCCCACAATATCCAAAAGAAAGGCACAAATTCAACAATGGCTCTTATCGAAAGACATTAGTTTCAATGAAAATATGGTCAAAGCAGAACTTATCCATCTAGTCACGCAGCACAAATATAAATATAATCTTAATGTTATTGATGAAATGGCTAAAAACCAAAATAAGACCGTTTTAAGGCTACTCCCTTATCACTGCGAATTAAGTCCCATTGAAATGATTTGGGCAAATATAAAAAACTATGTGGCTTCAAACAATAGAACATTCAAATTTTCTGAAGTTAAAAATTTGTTTTATGAAGCTATCAACAGGGTGACGGCAAACCATTGGAAAGGTTACATCCGTCACGTTCAAGAGACAATCAAAACAAAGATGTGGGATCTGGACAATATGATCGATATTCAAATTAAACCTGTAATAATTAATATTAACTGTTCGGAGATGATTCAAGTACTTCCAGCAAATAAAAATTTTTGAAAGGTATGTGGACTTCGTTATAAAATAATCATTTATTTTGTTAGATTATTCCAAGACCACTGAGGAAAACACGGACCTGTACAATCTCGCTTTTGGGCATGTTGTGTTTTGTAAGGGCGTAAATGGACTACGAATGGGGTATAGATACCGATGTGTTGCAATTACTCTAGATAAACTTCGTTACGTTGTATCGTTGTGTGGAGTAAGGTCCATTGGAGCCTTTGATGCAAATTCTACTTACGTATACTGTTTTCTATGGACGAGTAAAAGGCGTTGACAACGGCAGGTCTTCCATGGGTGATCCAGTCAGTTTTGTTGACAGGCTCTCTTAATCGTTTGAATGAAAATCTCGTACCGAATAGGGTCAAGTTTAGAATGGAATGAAGGTAGTGGTCTGGATCCAACTCTAACTGGAAAGAGAAAATCACATTTTTCGATTAAATTCATAATCCACGTTTCAATGACATATTGCGCTTACACTAGACGTGACCTGTATCGCAATAGTAAAAAATTAATTGGAATGCAATTCTGCAGCCGCAAATGAAATGCACCGGATAGAAATGTGAAGGAGACTATTATGTATTATCGGTGACGACACAAAAAAACGAAGAGATTTATGAAAATGTATTGTTAGCAGTAACCCATATAACCCCGTAGCACATAAATGGTCGAGAAATGGTCGAGATCTATCCAGTAGTCAGTCATAGTTCTCGGTCACAAGCACGTCAAAGGAGGAATTTACTGACAGATCGATAAAAATAAGACATCATACGACAACAAACAAAAATAGCCAGTTTTCATTTTGCCTTCTTACTAATCAAAGCTTGATCGATTTTAATTTTTTTGATTATAGCTAACCTATTGCCAATTCATCACATTAAGGATCAAAATAGTCCACCCCATACATCAGTATTATCTATTTAATGAGAAGCTTACATGTTCATAGAACTGCTCAAGTTTTCTGTCATCAAGTAACTCATCTGGATATGCAATATGTGTAGTCATAGCCTTAGCTTTGTCCAGAGCATGTTCCCTGGTGATGTCATCCATCCAATCAACTTTCTTCAAAATATCATAAAATTCTGCTCTGATGTCAGCTACCATCTCTTTCGCATTTTGCCTAGCTTCTTCGTTGAAGTATTTCCTGATGTAGAGAGCTCCAGCAGCTATGGACAGACTGCAAAAGGAAGTAATGTTAGGCTTCGTGAATAGCAATCAATCAACCGATCAAGTACCTAACCAACCAACCGGCCAACTAAGCAACCAACCAATGAATCAAGCAAGTAATCAATTAACCTAACAATCAAGCAATCAAGGAATCAAACAATTAATCAAGCAATCAAGGAATCAAACAATTAATCAAGCAATAAAACAATCAAACAACCAAGCAATCAATCAAGCAACCAATCAATTATCCAATAGATCAACCAATCAAGAAATCAGTCAATCAATTTATCAGTTTATAGATCAATCAATCAGTCAACAAATCAATAGATCAATTTATCACTCAATCAAGCAATCAATCAAGGAATTAATCAATTAATTAACCAATCAATCTACCAATCAACAAGCTCGTAAATCAAAAGATCAATCAACAAACTGATCAATTACCAATCAATCAATTAATGAATAGATCAGCAGATCAATTGGTCAATCGTTCAGTGATTTAGTCAAGCAATCAAATGTTTAAGTAAAACCATTTTGTCGACCTGTAAGTGGGATCTTTCTACTGACTCGCGTTTATCTAAAGTTATTTACTTTCGTTCCATATCAGTCTTTCTGTTTTCTACATTGCACTGTATCGGCATGTCGAACTATATCATATTCTATTTTTTGAGTTAATGCGATGTCTACCTTCCAGCTGAAATGTCAATGCATTCTTTCCATCTTGCTTCTCTTTCAGTTCTGCCAGTGACGACCGTGGTGTACTCTAACTGACGCTTTCTGAGTTCTTCGGTAAGGTATGACACTGAGCTGGAGGCTGCTCTCCACATAACATAGTTTGCTTGAATTCTGCAAACCGATTAACAAATCAAAATAAAGTATTGTGTAACACATGAAATGAGAAATATCCGTGGGACGGCCATTATAAGCAAATACATATTCGGGTATGACCCATCGCAGACAAAATTATCAATAACCACTGATCGTAAAATCATATATGTAATTAGGTCTAGCTTGGTAGAAAATAATATTTGTCTCCGTTTAAATGAAGAAATAAGCTCAATAACTATAAAATCCTGATTCACACAAGCCGTTTCAGTTCTCAATTATTTTTAATCGAATAACTCAATTGTTTGTGCATCTAGATAACAAGGTATTACAAATAATTTTATATCTACAATGTCTGTTGTTTCACTGCTAACTGTAAAGTGGTCACTCTTCAAAACCTTCTGTATATTTAACTGGATAGGTAAACTTCATGATTTGTTATCTACGATAGCTAGGTGAAGCAGGAGAATATTTTGCAAAATAACTCAATCTACCTTTTAGGTGTCCTAGAGATGAGGGCCTCAAAATCTCTGATGTAAGAAGGTACGCTGACGACAACGACCTCGTCATGGCTGACTTGAGTGTCAGGTGCAAGAAGTTTGTTCATGTACTCGAACCATGGAATGCTTGGGAATGCTTCTTGTAACTGGCTCATTGTCATGGGGTTGTAGAGAGCTGTAGCGTTACGACGTTTCTCACTTGGTAAGGATATCTGAAAAATTTAAAAATACACAACAAACTGGAATAACGCTATTTGAAGTTTGAACAAAAATACATATATGGTGTGGAGGTGACATTCGTCTTCATAGCTTTATTCATTGCACCTAATACTACTACTACTAGCAGATCGATCGACATAAAATGGACATAGAATCACATTTCTTTTAAGGTGGCCGTGATGACTTACATTGGCTAGCTTCATTTCAAATTCCAATGACTGCCGGAGTTCCTCTTGTGCGGTGTCTCTGTCTGCTCCAAAAAGTACAGCGATGTCAACCATATAATCATAATATGCCTTCACTATCTTATCTTCCAATCCCTTGGTAAGAAACTCTCTTCGTAGGCCTAACGATGCTTGATCGAGCTAAAATACAATTGATACGTAAGATTGAACAAATTTTTTGAAACAAAATCAGTTATTACTGTAATGTAGGTACCACTTGTTTCTTTAGTCATTATTATTATTTTATTACTGCTGATATTTCAATATTTATTCTGACAGATAAACATTAAAGATGTACAAAATAATGATGAGAATTGCACCTATATCGCTGAAGCTTGAGATGGTGTCAAGAGTTTTCTGTTTAGTACGGTGCAATGAGTATCTTTCAATTACCTTTTGTATAACTCATTCCTACATCTATATTTATATGAACTTACGTCGATTATTCTTTTAGTGGAATTCTTGACATCAACTCCAACAGAAAAGTCAATGAAGTAATCAACGCTGTAGCCCAGTTTTCTGAATTTATAAACAGATCTTCTCCAATCGAACTCACCTTCATCCCATTCCATCCCTAAAAAAAAAATATTTCTTCATTGTATTCGTCTCAAGCGACATATTTTCATCGTGCGAGCTTTCAAATATGGAAGCACATACAACTCGATAGAATTTCTTATACAATTTTCCAAGTAGTGCAATTTAATCTATACACACCGGCATCAATAAAGCGTAGATTTTGTGACCACCCTCTAAAAACAATAATATATCTAGAGTAAGTCGAGATTTTCCGCCAAATGCTTGGAAAGTATGTGTGACTATTATGTCTAACCACACCAAAACCTCTAACCCCCCGAAACCCCGACCCCAATTTTTTTAAACTTCTCCCAAAAGAAGGTCGAAAATCTAGGTTCCGAGCGTACTTTCCTATCATATAACGAAGTTAAGGACTATACAGACAGACAAATAGACCGATGGAAGTCAGTGACATAGTTTTTCGTGTTGTACATGTTGTGTATCACTGAAACAACAGTAATCTCTGAATTCTGCAATTAGAATGCTTACTTTCCAAATGGAGCGGATAGTGAACAATATTTTCTTCATTCAATTTGAAAGGATTGATACTTTCATAATCTTATTCCATCCTTTGTCACCATTTTTAACGGTATCCTATTTTACTCTACAGCTAAGAATAGATAATAACCTCTGCTTTTACGGATAATTTTCTCATAATTCTTGGGAAATGACATGGCTAATCAGCTTTCATGCATTCTAGCCTTCTATTTTTAAGCTGGAAGTTGATAAAATTCTTCCGTACTTTGACAACTTACACGTGCAGATCTTCTGATTAAATTTATTGATTTCTGGTAGTAAAATGCTTGAAAAGTCATAAATTATTTTTTAACGATTTAACATGCATTGCATATTTCCATTACTTTTATGAGATAGATATGATAGGTACATATATGTTATTACCTGTATTGTTTCAAAGTCGATTTATCGTTAAAAACTAGACAGAGAAAATCATGATTATGTAAATAAAACCATCTTTATTATCGTTTCAAAGAATGCTATAAGCATTTAAGTATTATACGTCATGTATAGACATTAGCACAATTTGTAATTTCAGACAGCCTTGGATGTACAATCACTTTTAAAATATTTGAAAATACATTGCCCGACGATAACGCTTTTTCCACAAAATGAAATAATCCTTACTTAGTTATGTTCTCAATAAAATGATTCAGGTATGTATATTGCGTTATCGGGAAATACAGACTTTATCAAAAAATCGCGTCAAGAATGACTCTATTCTCCGCACCCACTTCCTTACGGCTTCAAATACAATTTTACATGGAGTGCAATATTTCAAAAACATGGGTCAAGTCTATTAAAAAAACTCAGGTGGAGTTGAACCAAACTATATAAAATAAATCATGTTGCCGTTTCAATAGCAACTGTATGGAAAATATGTGTGACTATTATATCTAACAGGTGCGTAGTATTATTGGAATCAGAAGCTGCTTGATAATAGAACGTCTTTCACGATACCAAAGATGTAACATTTCAATCCCCCTGCCCCTACAGTGGCCAGTCCCACTGGCGTATAGCCGAATGATGCAAAATACTCATTACGTTCGGGCCAAAACATTAATTCCAGCCTAAAAGCACTATATATTTTTTTCTAGCTTTACGATTAAATATTGATATGTAACAAAATTTGTGTAAGTGTTTTGAAATTTGTAGATTGTAGCCTCAAACGTTATAAACCTGTTTTTAAGCTTTAATAGTTATCTCGTATCGCATGGAGATATATACAGTGTTTTATAAAAATGTCCTCTTATTTATTTTTCGAACGGGTCCACTTGCAACCTGAAATTCGGGGTATTAAAAATGATATATAAATACTATATTTTAACGTAAAAAAGCCAGTTGAAGATACCAAGATGGCGACGTTTTGGAACATTTTTTCAAATAGAATGGGGATCATGTGAGGACTCGTTTTGAAGCCCTTGAAGGGCCGTATCGTCAGTGGTTCCTACAGTGTAGGACGCCTTTATTGCCACCTTGATTTTCATAGCATTTTCTCTCCTTCACTTTAGAAAGGCTGGATATTTATATATTTCTACTGTTCTGTGTCAGCATCAGCGCTCTTTCATTGTGACGGTTTTCTTTTTGAAACGTAAGACATTTCAGACCGATATAACAGATGATATAAACAAAAAGCATGAACAATTTGATGCAACTTGATATTTGGAACATAACATCAAAATAGAGCGCTGACATGGAACAGTAGAAAACTATGAAAACCAGGGATGCCCTTAAGGTACTACAATAAATTGTAGGAACTGACGATACGGCCCTTATTTACAATCTTTCAAAATGATGAACTGGCCTTGTACAGCGAGTGGCTTATAACTCAAGAGCCAATCATCAAGACGCTGCAGTACATATATCAATTTTCTTCTCTTGAGGCATTCAGACAGACCATTCCAAAAGCGTTTTGATTATGTGACAGCCTGACAGTCCGCTATTGTGATTATAGTGATTTTCATATTCTGTGTTATAAGGATATTCAAAATAACATATCACATGACCCTCCATTGCTTTTAAAAAATGTTACAAAATGGCCCAGTTACAATATACCGTTTATAAAACAATTTTACCACTTTTCAGCTTAAAAATATTGAAAAATACAAGAAAGTATTTTCTGAAATAATACGTAACATACTTTCTTCATAAAAGCACGATTATGCTATTTTCAAGCTCTTTAATGGTCTCTTTAATGTTTTCTGCATTATCTTTTAAAATCCATCACATTAGGAATTCTAAAAAATTCATAAAACCTGTATTGTTTCCACTTTACAAGTTTAAAATATATGAAAATTCCTTGAATACACAAGACAGATAGTTGCCACTTTTGAGGGGCAGAATGAAATTCCTTTCAACATTGACCCGTCACTCAAACATTATGAAAAACAAATATTGAAAATAAAACCCCCTAGAAACATTATCTAATTGAATGTTTAATGTGTTTACGCTATGAGCATTTACCACGATACACATACAGTTAAGATAGGATGTTTCGCATGTGGACGGAGCTTCGTGACGTCACCTTGAGAGTCATCGGCTCGTGATTACCAGCGCCAGGATTGTCGTAAAGTTGTTGTAGTTGTATCGTGGTTAATTCTATATAGTACGATTTGTTGGTGATTTTTGGGGGTTTTGTGACTTGTATCAGTTATACATATTTTATATACCCTGTGTGGTTGTTAGATTGATAAAAATGCGGTGTGCTGTTGTGGGATGTAATTCCGACAACCAATCTGAACGGAATCCTTGCAAAGACATGAAGTTCCACAGTTGTCCTCAAGACCCAAACCTTAGCAAAAAATTGCTACATCTTACAAAAAGAAAAGTGAAAGTGCCTATAAGGTCAATTTGAAACATACTCTTTTGGGTTACACCCCTAAAAAATATTGTGCTCTAAAAGATGATGCCATTCCTACGGAAAATTCAGCTTCAGCATCCAATACTTGTTAACAGGACGTCTTAATCAAGATGTGATAGAAATTTTTTTCGGAGTAATTAGTGCAAAAGGTGGTCTTCATGACCATCCAAGTACCCTAGAGTTCAAGTATAGAATAAGGTCTTATATTTTGGGGTGGAACGAAAACCCAAAACTCTGAGTATTGCATAGTAGGATCAGAGGATACTCCAGACGTTCCACTAACCGCATTATTAACGAATAAACTGAATGCACCTGAAGTATCAGCTGACTATAACGAAGAAGCAGCATTGACTGCCCTCAAAAAGCTAAAAAATTATTTTTCAGGTCGAGGATGGTCTTCCTGATCAAAGACCTGAATGAAAGTTTGAAAGACCAGAAAAAATGTAAAAGGAAATGGAGAAAAATGGTTTCTTGGACTAAGTCATTTCCATTTATTGTTATACCGCCAGCTTACTGCAAAAAGAAGATAACTCCATTTTTCTACTTTTCGAGTTGCTGCGTACATTTTCATGGATAAATGTAGTGCAATAATAACGTCATGAGCATATTAGTACTGCCCCACAGAACATACTAAAATATAGGCAATGCAGATAAATGTTATGAGTTCTCTTGTTTTTACAGTAAAGTGACGATACGCTCTATTGTGGAGCTAGGAAGCCGTTTAAGTAATAGCCTGTGAAATGGAATTACTAGGTTAAAATCTTTTATTTAAATCCGACATTTTATTTTGTATAAAATTTGAATGTAGCTTGTGTCACTCGCATCGATAAGATGAATCCAGCGAGACCTCATATGTGAAAATCTATCAAGCCATTTGAGCTGCAGACTATGAAATAGCAATAACAAGGTTTTAATCTTTTATAAAATCCACCATTTTGTTGTGTATAAAATTTTAATTTAGCCAGTGTCACTCGCACCGCTAAGACAAATCCAACAACACTTCATATGTGAACATCCGTCCAGCAGTTTGGCCTATAGGTGAAAATATGCACGTTATCCATATCAACCTAAATGAGAATCACTCTCAGAGTGACGTCATGCACGCCGGCGGACGAAAATCGAACATCGAAGAATCCGACACTGAGCATTTATGATTTAGAAAGCATCATAATCATCCAAGTTAGACATACCACCGCCATGCCCGTAGTTCTGCCGTCAGTGGATCAATTTTCAAAACCTAAATTATCACACTATCCTAACTATCAACAAAATGATAACGATAATCTGTCTAGATTTGCGTTTACAAAATGGCAAAACGATAGTGATAGTGAATAAGAACAGGACATTGCGCGGACGCAGCTGAACATCTTACCTTCTAAAACGGGCCATCCTCCTAGTTGACGCAAAATCCCATGGATAGTGTTGAGTCCTTCTGCTTCAATTAATGTTTTGTTCATGCACGCCTTGTACAGTTTTTTGGTGAGTTGGAATGGCTTAGGTTCTCCAGGTTTAATGGGCTCCTCGATCATCGCACGCAACTGTTCTTGCAATGCATCACTGATTATGCTGAAGCTAGTGACCTAGTGTTAAAAAAAGTCGCATTACTCAAGGTGTTTTATCGATAGTAAAAATCAGTTTTGCGGGAACCCCATAAATAAAAGTACAGTTCTATGTACAATCACAATCAACAAGTATTGCGTCACTTCTCTTTGTTATGGATAAATCAGAGCAAGTGGCAGCAGCGCAGCACGGTAATGATTGATGAGACTGAGATAAACTTATAAATAATTCTCGTTTAGGCAAATACCTGTCGATTATCTCTTCTTCTTCACGACGGGACGATTCGGTTGAGAAATTATTATCATTATTTTTCTTTAAATCTGTACAGAGACTCTTCGATGTGCTCTTCAAATCTAAAAGACTTCATATTTCAGGTAAGTAACTCATGTTTCTTGGAATTATAGCAAAACACAGATCTCCAATTTACCTTTTTAGATAACCAGAATAACTAAGAAAATAACAGTTCAAAGAGCAGAAATAAGCCTGTCCCATGAAAACAAAATAAATAGGTACACATGCTTATTAAGAACGTTGCAAAAGGCCAATGATGCCTACTGGAACAAGCAACATCTGTTTCTAGCTCTACTAGACCTAAGCGGCACTAATGAGTTGCTAATAAGCACGAAACAACGCTGTCCGCGGTTGGTCGTGGTTACAGAAACGGAAAGCAAACATGTCCAAGACGATAGTTTCTATTCATGCATATATCCATAGGAAGTTCTTGTTGTTCTGGTCTGCGAATACTTGCTGCTGCTAGACGGGTCTACCGTTTTGGTGGTGTGACATCTATTTGTGCATTGCGACGAACGTGGAACGGTGATGAGCGTAGGGGTTCTTCCGCCATCTTTCACGGTATGGCAACACATCTTCAAAGATCAACAATCTTAAAATTATTTTGTTTGGATCAGCTTATTAGTAGGTAGTCATTCAAAACGGTGGGCTTTGAGGTGACTACCGATATGCAGCGCCATCTATTGGAGAGAAACCGAAACTGGGCAAACAACTGGTAGGTGGAGCCTGTTAAATCTTTTGCCTAGTACTCCGACTTTTCCAAACGACCATACCCATTTGCTTGCTCTACGCACTGATAAGCTGTTAATGTGCATGAAACAACGCTGTCTGCGGTTGGTCGTGGTTACAGAGATAGAAAACAAATATGTCCATTTCGTTATAGCAACACCTTTCTCTTCATTGTTAGGGCAATCCTACCTAAGTACAAGTCATTTTTTAGAATTAATATGAGATACTCTCAGATATGAACTGATACTTGGCAAGGTAATTAGTGATGATTTTATGAGGTCCTGCTGAAGTCACATGTTTCCCATGCTGTTTAATTCATTCATAAACAAATTAGTAGACTGATGGTAAGCGTCCCATTAACATTGCTTGCGAAAAGTGAAGGCCCATGACGTGGATGGTCCAAAATCCGCATCAAAAGACTTTTGTGTAAGCAATTCTACGTGGCCAGTTACGAAAATTCGTTTCACATCAACGATCGCGATTATAAACGCCTATTTGCAGAACGACTTATATACACGACATTATACGAAATAGGGCTACCAAATTATCTGAATACGTTCTTTCTCAGTCCGTACGCAACTCTGCGTGGCTTACTAGCAGCTTTATCTCCTAGTATTTTCCAATGAAATTTTTAGCGTACAGAAAACAAGGCTATACAGGTATTAAGCTACTTCCTGATTTTTTCTACTATTCTTTTTTTTAATCAACGAGTTGAACAAAAATAGTAAGAATTTCAACCCAAAATAATTCTTGTGAAAAGAAAGGAAAGTGTCTTCTAAACACAATTTAGTAAAATCGTTTGAAGATATTGGAAAATGTAGCGTCCGTCACGAAACAGCTGAACCCTTGTAAATAGCTTGGAACTCACTATGTCGTAGCCGCCTTAAACAGATTGCTTGACACATATTCTGCAATAAATTCTGCATATATTTACTAACCGAAGACTTATCATCGGGTATAATCGTGCTCTTCAGGAAGTTTCCACAAGTAAATTGATAGAAGTCGTCGCAAGGATCTACTGTTGGGTCCATGTACTCCAATACTTTCGAAGCTGTATGGACACAACCACGCGACAGACAGATCTTTTCCTTGTCATTTGTGGACGGTGCCGTGATCACGTATGGTCCTTGAAGAGCTTCTGCACTGTACTGGTTGCCTGAAACAAAATATCGGTATTATTGCAAAGTAATGACAACTCAAAGGTATCTCAGCAGATCCCAAATTACACAAGAGTTTCGTTTGATTATAACAACGGAGTCCAAGTCTGAGTTCAGTTTGTCCATATCAGGTGATTTGAAGGGCGTTTCGATGTCACTTCAAGATTAGATTGAGAAAATTCCTGGAAATCAAATCTAATCTAAAGGTACGTAGGTTTTTGAGGACGTTGGGTCTGAATTTCAGGACATTTTTCCATATAAGGTCATTTAAAGGGTGTTACGAGGTTATTCCAGGGTCGTTTTGAAAATCTATGTTAAGCTTGATTTTGTGACATATTCTCAATTTCTCCTCTTGATGACCACAAGACGAACTTCAAATGACCTGATACTGCCAAAATGACGCCAGATTTGAATTCAGTGACCAGAAAATCCGATAAGCATGACAGTTAAGTGCCAAATACCTGACTCCGTAAAGAAATGAATCTTTTTGTTTTGATCTAAATGCCATTGAGAAACTTGTTGTGACAAGCTAAAAAGGCTATTAATGACAAACCTCAAAAATTCCTGCCTTACTCTATTAATCATTCGAGTGCATATAAGAAGAATCTACTATCGATGCGATTGGCAGAAAGCTCAAAAAATCTTATTTTCAGACTTCAAGTGGGACTTCGCGGGAATATTACCTGATGACCATTTAGGAACCACCACTCTGGCCTTTTTTGAGTAAAGGTCTTTTCACACATACCTATAAAACCGGCCTCCATAAGCGGACGTTTGTCTGTGTAAGCTCATAGATAGATATATACTAAGTGACATATAAATCCGAACACCCAGTTTAAATGGTTTTAATTTAATAAAATTTTGTATAAGTACTTAATGAAGCATAATAAGTAAATGATAAAAATTTCTAAATGATTGCACTGCTTTAAAGCCCTTTGACCTTTAGTAATGTGTGGATGCACCCTGATGTGCTACGCATTCTCCAACGCGCCTAGGCATGCTTCTGATCAGGTGGTCAATGTCCTCCTGTGGTATCTCATTCCAGGCAACCACCAACTCCTCTCGAAGTGCTTCTAGAGTCTGAGGAGGACGTTGCAAATTGAGCAATCTCCTACCCATCATATCCCACACGTGCTAAATTGGGGATAAGTCGGGAGATCTTGGTGGCCATGGTAACAATGTGACATCATTATGTTGAAAGAAGTCTATTGTGACTCTTGCAACATGTGGTCGGGCATTATCTTGTTGGAAAGTTGGATCTGCCAGGGTGTCAAGATAGGGTAAAAGATGGGGTTCTAGAACTTCGTGGATATAACGCTGCGCGTTCATGTTACCTCTGATGAAGATTAAAGGTGACCTGGAACCATAAACTATAGGACCCCAAACCATAACTCCAACAGTGTGATTAACATGTCTTTCAACAAAAAACTGTGGATTCCTCCTTACCCCACGTCACCTTCTAACCCTGGCACGACCATCGTGCATGCCTAAACAAAATCGAGACTCGTCACTAAAGACAATACTGTTCCATTCCTGATCCCAGAGTGACTGTTGTCTGCACCACTCAAGGCGATTACGTCGGTGTTCTCGAGTTAAAGGGAGGACCCAGTGTGGCCGGTATGAAAACAAGCCAAAACTTCTCATTCGTCGGTAAACACTTCGCATGCCAATAGGTCTTCCGTGTTCTGCAAACCATTCATTTGCAATGGACCTGGTAGTGGAGAAACGGTCCCTTAAGGCCAATAATCTTAGGCGGCGATCTTTACGGTCTGTTGTTCTACGGCGGCGTCCAGTGCCCCTTGCTCTTTGCGTACGGCCTTCTCGAAGCCATGCCTGACAACACCTAACCACAGTGTCTACACTTCTTTGCACTCTAACTGCAATTGCCCGAAAAGAAAGTCCAGCTTCCCGAAGTCCCACTATATGGCCCCTATCAAACTCACTAAGTTGACGAAATCGTACAGGTCTCCGTACTCTAGGCATCGTAACCGATCGTAAAGGATGTCAAGAACCAAAATCCGCCAACGTTGATTCTTTACTGCGGCTGAAATATTCATTTTTAGAGCGTTAGTGAATTAAAAAAAAGCAGTATAAAAACCGGAATGTCCAACTGATAAGGCTGAACATTTTTTCACTTGTTATTTACAGTAAGATAAATACATTCACCAACTTTTATTAAAATAAAACCATTTAAACTGGGTGTTCGGATTATATGTCACTTAGTATATTTGGCTTTGTCTCATCGCCTTGAACATTTTCTCTTCAACGTATGGGTCTTCCACATTTATACTAGTCACTGTCAGTATGACAAGTTGTTCAGCATGAGCGTGCGAGTTTACCTTTTGCTGATTTTCGATACTCACAACATAGCAATGCATGAAGATACAACGACAATATCGATAGTCTGTATTAACTATATTGGAGTATTTTGGGGATGTGAATGAAGAGAACGTCCTTCTATCACCCAATCTGTCAGTGTGTGCAAGAGTGAATAGCAGCTGCGTTGAGTATCGGTTTGTACAGTGTAGAATTCTCCTTGGGGAAGATAATCTCCGCAGATGATACAGTTAGTCAACTATTACTTATTCCGTATAATCTTAGCACATAATCGCCAAAAACCGTGAAAAGAACTACGAGTATACAATAGAATAGTTGACACTTCTTTTAAGAAGGTGTTTACTAGTTAAAACCTATTAAACAAAAAAAGTTGATACTGTATTTCTACTATTTTGATCACTTATCAGACATTTGAATTTCACTTTATTGGTTATAGAGTACCGATTACCAGGCCAAACCCTTTTAATGATTTTCTTTTGACAAATTTCAGAGTTTATTGATTGTATAATTTCACAAGTATTATACCTTTCTTTCTCAGCGATTCAGTATTGTTCTGAAATCTTATGGACACTAATGTTATAGTATTATTAACGACTATCTTAGAAATTTCCTCATAAAATTTTGTTGGCCCCTCGTAGACAAGATACCTTCTGTTAAAATTTGCTTTACTATCAAGATACCTTGTTTACCGGGTTGTCTCCGTTCGTTTTGATTTTCTGTCGAACGTGCCTTCCTCAGGGCCGCTCACTTAAACTTCTTTTGATATTTTATATCCGACTAAGATGCCTTGTTTTGAAAACTTGGCGTCCAGCGCCATTTTGCTTTTACTTTCCTGCCGAGATTGTGGTGTGGGCGTCGTTTAACTAGTTTCCAGATTCTGGGGTGTTAGACTCCCAAACACCAAATTATGGAGTAGTACCCTTTTATTTTGTACCTTACGTTTAGTTGTGTTGGTTTGGGTACTAGTCGTTCATTTTCTAATGGGATTTTAACCTCCAGTGGTAAGTTCTTTTTTGTATACCATCGGACCACGTCAATTAATGTCCTGGAGAAGTTTGTTCAATATCTGCTTCCTTTTAGTGGAAAGCCATTGCGGAGAACCACCATTCACGACACTCCTCCAGCTTTGTTTTGGAGCTGCCTTGTAGCTGTTTCGCAGCCGATTTTGTTCTTATTCTTGATTTTGTTTGGCATTTTACGTATTCAAATATAGGGTAGTGCCTACATTTCACCATCTTTTGGGCTTACTACATTACATTGATCATAACTTTGAATTTTGAGATGTCCTGACTTATGTTAGAATAAGGGATAACTTTCTGAGGGTATATCACTGTAATACATTTCTATCCTTTTGCATCTGCTCTATTTTTCTTGTAAAAGACAATGTACATAGATTTTTTCTTCAAGTTTCGAGTGTTTTAAATGTGTAGTTTTGTCTCAGCCATAGAGTAGATTTTTAAACAGTCTTTCTCTCTGTAGGTTTTTTATGCCGTAAATTTTGAGAACAAGGCAAGTAGCCCCTACCTTGTGACGTTCCTCACGTCAGTGACCACTACTGGCCACTGGCTTTTGACCTGAGTGTTAGTGAGCTGATTACATCTCGGCTTGCCTAGAGCTGTAAATGGAAGAATACCATTGTCCAGATAAGACCATTATCCAGATAAGTTTAGGCTTAGGCGTTAAAATATTTGTGAAGCCAATATTTGTGAAGCCTTTGTATGTGTACCATGGTAAAAGTTGGTTAATTATCACGGTCGAATAATTTTATTGTCAGGTAGTTTAGAATAAAATCCTTTCTTTTAACTTGCACTCCAGAGGTGGAATATATGTGCTGCTTGTTTTGATAATACATTGTGATTCTTTTTTAAATATCTTGTTTTATTTGGCTCTCTGTATACAGTTAATTAGGTTTTGTCATTAGTGTTAGATTCTTTTCTTTGTGTGGTGGTCAGGCAAAACAAGTTCCGACTAACATCTCGGGGATTTGTGGCTTAATCCGTCTTGAGTCACTGGCGCTCCTAACCCAACTACTCTCGCTTTGTTGAGCTAATTTGGATAAAAGGCAAAAAAACTAACAAACTCTCAATGTGTCAATTTTCGGCAAATTTGTGCCTTCAAAATTCACGAATCCAACGTTCATGATTATTTTTTTCAATAAAACGTGAAGATGATAACTTTTCATGTTGATTAAGAATTTTTCAAAGAACCTTAGTCTACGAATGACATACGGATGACGCTTCTTTGCTTACAATTTGTATGACGTCGCATCATGGCCGATAGCGTTTTCATATTTTCGTATTAAAAATGAAAAATATACTTTTTTTAAATTGGACCTAGGTATATATCCATCCATCTTGCGTTTTTAAAAATTGAAATTGATATATTTCATTTCCCTAAGACAAATACTGTAAGAAATTTACTCTATGAAATTAGATATGAGTCAAGTAGCCAATTGACAATTCTTTGACTATATTTTGTTTATCTGTTTTCCAAGTGACATTTCGGCCTTTTTCTCCTGTTCAGATCCCTATACAGTGCGTTCTTGAACATGCGACGCCATCATTGTAATTTTAAGATGGCACCGTGTAAGATCAGTACAACCCTGGACCGCCTGGGATAGGCATTCCCGCTCCCAAAATGCTGTCCAGTTCTCCAAAGCGAC